TTCCATTCAACTGTAGTTCTCAGGCTTACTGTGTCTTGTGAAATGTGTTATTTCCAAGGGTGCAAGTTCAGTAGAAATTGAGAACTGAGTGGGGGATCCTTTTTTTTTTTTTTCTGCTTTTATTTCCTTTCTTTCAAAAATGTATCTTTGGATTTGTAAGGCTTCTTTGCCTGCATTTGATTCACAAAAAGTACAAAACTAGAATCACATTCATGCTTTGATGCACCACTTTGAGTGTGCCATAAATCACTAACCTTTTGTTGTACTAAGGAAATAAATGCTTATGAAAAGATTATAGCATTGTATCTCTGTACTCACCAGTGTAACTCGTGCTTCTGATAACAGCAGGGGTTAGAAAGAGCAAGCTGTGTGGGGTCACAGATGGAGGAAAGTGCACTTCATGATGAACTGCCCCGTTTCTGAATCAGTGTTTCTTTTTTTATATACAGGTAATGTGTAGGCATGAAATTGCAGTAACGCTGGCTTTTCTGATTGGCAGAATAAATCAGCTTTTAAAACAGCAAAGAATAACACTATAATTAAGTTAGCATTTAAAACACAGTGCAGGTAGCTAGAACCTAATTCCTGGAATCACTACTTTCCCCTGGTGTTATTTTAAAGAATTAAAGTTGCAGAAGGAGAATCCTGTCTGTTGGATAACAGGATTAGCAGCGTATTACCTCATGAATTATGTGTTCTGGATTTGAGATCTGGCATTCACTTAAAGTGCTTCTGTGTATGATTACTGTCAAGTAGGTTGATTATTTTGTGTAAGCTATGATTGCAGAGCAATAGTTCTTAACAATTTGAGTACATAATGCAATAGGGGAGGCACCTTCAGAAAGTGCTTAGGCAGTGTAACTGGAAAGATCCTGTGTCTGGGGAAAATACTTTGTGATAATTTTGTACGTTTTCCTTCTTTTTGTTTTTCTCTTCTGTGTTATTTTTTCTCCAGTGTTTCAAATTTCTGTCTTGGGAGACTAAGGGTCTTCCTCAAGTTAAGTCAACCTCACTCTTAATAGGATTAGAAGGTGTATATATATTACTTTTTTTGACGTAAAACTTAATGTCACTTGTTCCATTGCTACAAACCGGTAGGAAATAACCATTTACGTTTAGTTACTTAAAAAATTTGTGATTCAAGTGGAGAAGAAATAATGAAAGAGTCTTCCTTTCTCAGTGTATTTTGTAAGTTGATATATCCTGGGTGAAAATGTTCTTTATAGTCTTACACACCGTGATAAGCCGAGAGTGTTACAAGGATTAAACACCTCTGCTATTGCCTGCCTGCCTTTATTTTCCACCTGTCTAAATGACATTATCTTCAAGCATATTTATTCTGGAAGGTTTAGAAAAAGGGCACCTTTCACCCACTAGTATTGCTGATGAAGCCATTAATATAAAAGAGAAAGATGAATATCAGATAACTAAGTTTCCTATCAGCAGAACTAAAGAATAGCACATATAACACATGAACAACTGGGAAAGGACTTGGAGTGTAACTAAGGATGTGGTTTCTGTTCTGCCTTGAAGAACTCTTAAGGGAACAAAAAAAAAATGTTGCCGGGGAATAATATGTAAACTTGAAATAATTCTGTAGCTGGCATCATCCCTTAGCAGTGGACTTTTTCTGATTTAGCCTTAAATGGTTTTACAGTGGGAAATTTTATAGTTTCCTAGTGCCCATAAACAGGGAGAAACACTTGGTTGGTCAGTATGGTTGGAAAAACAACCTCTAATGTGAGGAAATTTCTTTTTACAACTTACTCGTTTCTATTTGAGTTCAAATAAATATGTTGTAGGAAGAGCATATGAGCATCTTAGGAAGTTTCTGCTGTTGGTGCATCAATTTCTCCACAATGATAAACTTCTAAACGTCTTGTCATTACTGAAGTTGCATTTACTGTAAAAACCCCCTTGTTAGTGATGTTGTCTGTCCATTTGTGTTTGAAGTAGAGTAATCCTCTTCACTAGCACTTCGTCAGCCTTAAGGGGAGAATCATTCTGTATCCTGGAGTTCCCTTTCTGCTGAAGAAGTGCAAGTACAGATTATTGCCTTGCACAAAATCATTTGCTATTAGAACTCAGTTATAAACCAAGTGTCCACTGGTGCCAGGTTTCACTGGAATTCGAGCCTGATTATTTAAATTCTCTAAGGCATTCTAAAACTTGGCAGATAAAACTGAAAATCGGAGGTTTTGTTTTCTGTTCTGTTGAACACCAAGACATCTGTGGTTTTTAAATAAGCTCTGTTGCTCTCAGACTGCATTGGAGGTTGCATTGGTGTGCAGGCCTCTTGTAACACATGCTGTTTTGAATGCTCCGTGACTGCCCTTTTAATTGGAAGCAAGGGCTTTCTTCCTAATTTCTGCCCTAATTAACAGCAAAGTTTTCCACAGAATTGGCTGGTGTATGCTTGTGCATAAATGTTGGTCAGAATCCTGCCAAATCAGGGTGTAATTACTTTCTGGAAGAAACCAGTGTCTCCTCAGTTCTAAAATCTGAATATTTGGGTGTCAGAGTATGTAAGAGTTTAAACTGTGTAACAACAACACCGTAATTAGTAGTCTCTGCTAGATCCTAGAATCTTTTGACTATGTCTACTTATTAAACAGTTCTTTCTCTGGCTTTTTATTTATGGATACACTCAGGTCTTTCTAAAAGGTGTTTGGCAACCTAGATGATATTTCACTATCTACAGCAATAAAAGCTAAGAAAAAAGATATGCAAAAAAATGGAGAATGTTTTTATTGTATGATATATCACAGGGATATTACTCTGCAATTATAACAGATCTTTCTTCACTTCTTTGCTCAGTTTTATTAATAGGTTATCAGTATGGTAGTATCCTGAAGTTAACAGCTGTTGGCATTGCATTAAGGGCGTCAGTAAAGTATTCTTCAAAAATACGCTGTTTAACAGCCTCCAGGTACATTTGTCTGTTCCTCAGTTCCCTTTAGGAAGATATTCTGTCTTTCACTCGGTTGTCCGTGGAACTGAGAGGGTGACTGAGTATTTTGGGACAGTCACGGCTAAGTGTAGTTTTTATAGATTTGGCATATAAAGCTGTGCCAAAAGCAGAGCGCCTCTGAGTAAGAGTGAAGTTTTTATTACTGTACTATCTAAAAAGTATGGATTTTTGTTTGTTCACTTTGATCGTTTTTGGGGGTGACTGGAAGTGCTGTGTAATGGATCTTCTCTGTATTTCCAGGTCCTGAAATGTTATTTCACTGGAATGTTATACAAAACAAAATTGTAATAACAAAAATAACTGTACTGTGAAGATAAAAATTGAACAGATTATAGAGTTCTTCACTCTACTGTGATCTTCTCTTTATAACAGTGCCAAATGTATTCAGGTATCCGGAAACAGTAGACTGTCAGTCTTCAATTTTTATACTACCAGTTTAAAACTTGCCTTGAGGACTGGTGACCTAAATGTAATTTTATATATGATAGCTTTTGTGTGAAAAAAGAGGAAAAGGGGGCTGGGAGACAAGCTCACAACTAAAATATCCATGGCTTTAGGTAGGTTTTCACACTACAGAACTTTTATCAATGGGAAGTTATTGATACCTATATTGATATATATTTATTTTTTTAATTAGATTTGATTAAAGATGAAGACTTGCACAAATGTAAACGTAAACTAGATATAGGAATTACTGCTGATTATCGGATTGAAGTTTCTAAATAGTTTGAGAGGTTTAAAATGGCTTGTCTGTGTTTCTATCAGTGATTGAACTACACCTTCAGACTGGTTAAGATGACTCCTCAAAATGAAAAAGAAACACCAGTTTGAGAGTATAATTACCATTTTTTTCAGGAAGAGATGTGCATCTGTTCTTACTCATGTCCTTTTGATCTCTTTGATACCATTTTAAACAATAACAAAACCCCTGGAGAATTCTTTGTGTAAGTGTTGCCAGTTGGGACCCCCATAAGAATCGCAGCTTGGAACCAGGGCAAGAATAACTAACCCATTGTACTTGTCATACATTTATCTCTTTTGCAGAATTGAGACTCTGCTCATTCAATTGATGCAGAATTGTGTACATTTTATCCAGAACTCCATGTGATGTTGCTCAATGTCTCTTCCTTAAGCTGATATGATGTCTTACACAAATTTTTGAGCAAGTCTATGAGATTTCTAGTAGCATCATCTTACATCTTATAGACCAGCAGCGAATTTTATTGCCATTTTTTTAACTGGTGAGGAGGATGTTTAGTTACTGAAGTTATGCTGTTTTGAAAAAGAACACAGCTGTAATAAGAGAACTGTAGCATTTTAAAGCGAAAGAGGGTAAGATTTTTGTCCTTGAGGCGGAAAAAAAAAGCAAACATAATTTAATTTAAACAGCAGGGTGAAATCTATGTTACCTCTTGGCCTAGTAGTGATTTCTCGGCAATTTTATGTAAGTATAACCATAAGTTCAGTTGACTGACTCCTGATTTATCATATAGGAGAGAATAATTAAGATTTCTCGATGTTGCACTTCTCAATATACTTTGTCAATTTCAAACTAAGAATCCATCTCAAAATTCTCAGGAAAAGGATTGTCTAGTTTTATAAAGCTTTTTCAAATGGGAATAGTAATGGAATTATGCTGATACTATTTGTATATTTTTCTGCAGAGCTAATCCTCCATGTTAAATGATGCCATATGTTAAAAGCAAAATGAAAAAAACCACTTCTTGAAACATGAATTATGAATTAGTTCCATTTTTATATTTTCTTGCAGAAGAGGATAATTAAGCAAAGAGAATGAGAGCAGTTAACAGCATACTATAGTGTGCCGTATATTTTCAGGGCAAATGATGATTCTCGTGCTCATTTCATGAGAAATCTTTCCAGTCTCTGCATTTCTGATATGTTCTTTGTTGTAGCTGAACAGTAGCATCTTAGCCTTCAGGGTGATCATCAGAAAATAGGGCTTTTATGGATAAAGACAATACTCTAACACACTGGGGGTCTTTTTTTTTTTTTTTTTTTTTTCCAGAATCATCCAGCCATACAACAAGAACAATAATGGTAAGTATAAAGGAAATTACAGGTATTGATCTATAGATATGATTTTTCCTTTGAAAGCAAAGTGGATGTAGTAGTATCCTAAGCTATTGGCATGGTTTTTTATAAAGTCCAGTAACACTGTAGAGATAATGTGAGTCTGTCTGCCACCACATGGGAAATTTTGGAAAAAATGTGAGGTTGAATAGCTTAAGAAGTAGTGGTGCTGTCAGTTTGAATAGGTGAAAAATCCAGTTACAGTTCTGTGTGTTATGTATTTAAGTGATTTTCAATTATGTCAAATTACTGTGGCTAACATCTCTTGCATTCTATATGTATCGCATGCGTCAGAGCACATTTAAAGTTCGAAACATACGCTGAGGGATTTCTTGCATCACATTCCTGTGAGGCTGGTTTCTGTCTTTGAGTTTGATAGTTGGGGTTCCAGAAACAGAGAAGTATTTAAATGGACAGCTACATCTTTGAAAATTAGATTAAAAAGTTCTATGCATAAGAATGTAACAGATTTAGTATCTATCTTGGGGTTTTATAGCATGAAAAATTTTATCAGTCTCTTTCTGTTTCAGACTCCTAATAGAAGTTAGATAAGGATGGAACAAAAATTCACATAAAGAAAACCTTTCTCTGACAGGGAATAATTCATGCCTATCCTGTAGGTATTTGGGGGGAGGACTATCCACTTTTGGAAGACTGATTTTTGAGCCAAGTTTTGAAATGTTAGAATAAAACTCAACAAAACATGATGTGAGATTGTTTGTTTTCATTCCTATAGTTGCCAGGGTGTCCCTTCAAGTTTATTACCCCTTCTGTATGTACAGCACTTGGGGGACATGTAAATTCCCACACAGATACTTGATTCAACAGGACAAAGGGTAAATATAGGTCATTGCCTCTGTCATCAATAGTCATTAATAGTCCAGTGCAAGTGGATAATAAATAGGTAAGGACAGATCAGGACTTTTCAAAATAGTAGAGATGTGTCTGGAAGAAGTGATGTTTCTCCTTTCTATAGGATGTGATGTAATCCTTGTTTGTCGTGAATTTGGTTTAAATAGACCCATTTCAAAATAAGATGCTTAGTTACTGAAGTGTATTCCTCTGCTATAGAATTTTGAAAGGGATTGAAACATTTTTCAGTATTTTTCCATTTCTACATTGGTGTCAGGAAAAGAGCTAGAGGTTAATGCTGAAGCTGGTGAAAACTTCAGTCGTCATTCCCCTTTATTTTTTTCCCTATTAATTTTACTCTGA